CTACAATAAATTTTTTAAAAAATTAGCTGAGTGTGGTGGTGTGTGCCTGTGGTTCCAGTTACTTGGAAGGCTGGGGTGGAACTTTGTGCCACTTCACTTCAGCCTGGTGACAAGAGTGTGATTCCTAATTTAAAAAAATCATTTTACTTTTTTTTTTTGAGTTGGGAGTCCCTCTCTGTCACCCAGACTGGAGTGCAGTGGCCGCTCCCAGCCACCGCAGCCTCAACCTGCTGGGCTCCGGCAAACCTTCCGCCTCAGCCTTCCAAGTAGCTGGAACTACAGGCGCACGCTACCACGCCCAGCTAATTTTTTTATTTATTGTCGAGATGAGGTCTCACCAAGTTGCCCAGGCAGGTCTCGAACCCGCAGACTCAGACAATCCACTCACCTTGGCCTCCCAAAGTGCTGGGATTACAGGCCGAGCCACTGAGCCCGGCCAATCACTTTACTCTTAAAAATAAACAAATAAAAATAAAACATGGATTGTTAGGCCCTCTTACTAGAGTTTCTGATTCAGCAGATCTGGGATGGGACTGAAAATTTCATTTTTAACAAGTTCCCAAATGCTGCTGATGCTGCTGGTCTGGAACCTACTTTGAGAACCACTGCTTTAAGGAATGAAAGGGTTGAATCAAGGAACTAGGGGTTTACTTATTCTATGACCACCCTTGATGGAGAAAATTATCCATGGCATGATCATTAAGAAAAATGACCCAAGCCGGGCTCGGTGGCTCAGCCTGGAATCCTGCGCCTTTGGGAGGCTGAGGTGAGTGGATTGCCTGAGCCCGTGGGTTCGAGACCCGCCTGGGCAGCGAGACCTCATCTCTACAATAAATAAAAAAATCAGCCAGGTGTGGTAGCGCATGCCTGTAATTCCGGCTACTTGGAAGGCTGAGGCGGAAGGACCACCGGAGCCCAGGTCGAGGTTGCGGTGGCTGGGAGAGGCTACTGCACTCCAGTCTGGGCGACAGAGTGAGACTCCAACTCAAAAAAAAAAAAAAGAAAAGAAAAATGACCCAAATAGCAAACTGGAATACATGGGTTTAACATTCAGATATCTTGGTCTCCCTGTAGATTCCAAAATTTGACTAGCTTCCTCACTGCAAGGCCATACCATCTTCCAGTTTCCTACTTTTGTCAGGCTCTATGGCTGGCAGTGCTTCCTTTCAGCGCTAGGCTGAGCAGGCACACACACATGGACCCTGGACGTGGGGAGAGCCAAGTTGGTGGTCCCATGTATCCTTGACCAGGTTGGTGACAACTCAGGAATACATAAGAATGATTCAGTTATAAAGGGCAATCTCTGCAGGCTTTGGCCTTTAGGGAACAGTGTCCCTAAGATCATTTTATTATTTGTGGCTTACTCAGTGGGGCCATAAACCAGAACTCATGAGTAGTTACTGCAGTCATCATAAGAATGTACCAGCATTCTATTAATTTATTCACCTCCATTAAGTTCTCTCCAAAAGCAGTTTTTCATCCTATCTCAAGGGTTGGCTTATAGAATCTACTTTTTAGCTTTAGCTTAAAAGCTAAAGTAGTACTTTTTAGTTTTAGCTTAGCTAATGCGCAGGATTTAGGAAAGAAAAAATAAAGTATAATGAGGAGTTGTCTTTGGTTATCTGGGAGACTTTACTTTGGTGATCTGGACCCACAGACAATCAAGGTGCCATATTAGCCTCCAATTACCTAGTATTTTATTTTTAGTGCCTAGGCTGGGACTTAGCATTTGACCCTTGTGTTAAATGTGTGATGAGGACAAATTCCCCTCCCAACACTTTGAAATAAAGAATCCTTAAAGTCTCATGGAGATATTTCCTTGGTCCTGTTTTATAGGACCAAGTCCCATTCAGTTGGCCAATTTCACTTACATGCTGGATTTCTGTACATGGTGCATCTCAAGTGATTAGTGAGGTGTTTGTGAGAAACAGCAGGCTACCACTTCTTTCCTCCTACTCTTTTGGAATACTACAGGAAACAGCTACTTCTCAGTCCACTGTAGGGAGGTATCTTTCTGAATAGTGTGACCCATGTCTCAGGGAGCTAAAAGTGAAGAAATGGCGAGATTAGGCCCACTTAGAAGTCTTGCAAACAGGAAAACCAGAAGACAAGAAATGAAAACAAAAATCACCATTTTGTCTTAAGTTCTTAAGAAATATAGATTAGTTGGAAGGTTGGCAATTCAAGGCCAAAATGTAGCATACAAGGATTTCATGGTAGGGTCTTCCTGTGGACTTTTAGCAAAATTCTTTTTCCCTGCCAGCCTCCACCTTCCTAATGGTTAGACATGAAAAAGACATTAGTATAAGCATTTACACAAAGACAGAGATAAGCACCGTAGAGCTGCCACAAAGCATAGATTTTTTAAAAATTCTCTATGAAGCCTCAGAAGACAGGAAACAGCAAACTGCTCTTTGTGTTTGTGTGAGAAAGAGAGACACACACAATTTGGTCCCATATTAGCCTCCAATTACCTAGTATTTTATTTTTAGTGCCTAGGCAAGGACTGAGAAACAAATACATTGGACAAAACCTGTTGGTCTTCTTCATCCAGAAATGAGAGGGACTCTGCTGAGGAACCTATCCCAGAGTTGTGGCTCTCCCTGTAGACTGAAGCTGGGCATTGAACCATGCCATTTCCTAGCTAACTTTGGTGAGGGATGGAGTTGGGGGGGCGCTGGAGAGGAAGGAAATAGCACAAATTTCAGTATTGGACAGGCTGGATTCTTCTGAAAGTGCCTGGCGGTTGAGAATTTAGCGGTGGGAGTTTTTCTTTTTTGAGGGATCCCAGGCTCGACCAAGAAGGAGGTGTGTAGGTAGCACAGAATGCTGTGGACTTGCTCCTTGCCATTTATTCTAGGGCAGTGATAGGGGAGCTCAGGTTTTCTGCTTCAGAAAAGTCTGGATGAGCATCCCAAGGGGTTATAGCACCAGGAGGAGGCTCAACCTTCTGCAGTTGCTACATAACCATGATTCCTTTGTGAGATGATGGATCCCCACAGTGAGGGCCCCAGATGTGCAATTGTAAACAGGGTCCCAGGCTCCAGAAAGCTGAGGCTTCAACCCAATCTCACTAGATAGGAACACACTTTCTGAAGGAAAGCAACTGGAGACCTGGGCTAAATGCAGCAATCAACTGAGAGTAGAGGGTGGTGGATCCCAGGAATAGAAATGAAAAGTCATAGCACGGGGCCTCCAGAATCAACCTGCTGATGATTCAAATCAAATTCACGATGGTATCCATGGTTACCAGAGAGACAAGAATCCCTTTGGGATTTGAGGCAGTTGGAATGGAAGAAGAGGTCCTCCCCTCTCCTTTTATCTCAAGTAGCCAGTAACATCCATGACAGAAGGCACTGGCTGGGCAGCACCACAAAAGAGAGTTAAGTACTCAGCCATCAGATTAAGACAGCATTAAAAGTCTGAGCCTTGCCACAGGACTGGAGCTTAGGATAGGGTTCAGAAGAGGCCTAAGTCCCAAATAGGCCCATCCACTCTTCTCTTCCTTCTTAGAACACCCAGCTCTCAGGCCTCCTCATTCTGCACAGCAGTGACCTTAAGGCAGTGATTTCAGCACCATCCTTGAACACAAAGCCTCTTCCCACCACAGAATTGCATATTTTACAGCTGAATTGGTTGGAGATCTTCACAGCTCATGGAATTAGCAGCAATAGCAATAATGGTCTCCATCACAGAGAACCCTGTCATATCTGGGAGCTTACCAAGTGAATGCAAAAACTTTTTTTGCGGGGAGTAGGCGGGGAGGTCTGGACCATCTTGTGGACTAAATGAAAATATTCTGATATGAAGATTCAGATGCATCTACTCCTCAGAACTGAGTGATCCATGTTAGTATGCCTTTAGATTATGATAAAGTCTTGTGCTACTTAGGAATCTGAAGAGCAAACATTTAGGCCCAGGCTCATCATGTATCCCTGACCTGCAGAGTCCTGAAACTTCAGCCTGCAGTCAGCTCAACCTGGAATCTGATCCCATGGGGGCTTTCAGAAATGGCAGAAAGTAAATTTGTCTACTTCATAGACAAGCAAGATTCCATAGTCCTTCAGGTTCCATCTTAATTGATTCCAGATCTCCTGCCCCCAATGCATTGGACAACTAATGAAAGGCTTTTTCCTAGCTGGCCCTTTGGGTGTTGGCCACATTTCTCAGATGATCCTGAAGGTCTAGATAACAAGGGGGTGTATACTTAACAGAAGTTAGCACTAGACTGTAAGCTTAAGGGCCCAAGTCTTCTCTCATTTTCTCTTTTTAACCTAATGACTGGTACACACAAATGAAAGAACAGGGACTGCCAGACCTTCAGAGCAATAGGATAGGGGCAAGTTCTGCAAAAGGTAGGATCTCTTTGGAAAGTTGATATTGGCCACCAAGTCAAACTCCTTGAGCCTTATATTCTGATTAGGATGCTCTCACGTGGATGTCCAGTCTCTTATAAGTGAATATTCACTTGTCAAAAACAGTAAGAGCCAGCTAGGATATCAGGATTCAGTCAGACAAAGTGGTTACTATCAGAATAGTACTGTGAGGGGCCAGACAGGCCATAATACAGGAGAATATTTCCCATTTCCTGGTTTTCCTCCAGTCCATTATGAAGCTCAGAGTAGATCTTCTATCAAGATAGAAGTAGATCTTCTATACCCACTCATGCCAGAGGCTGGCAATTGAGCTCCCAGGTAGAATGTGTGCTTTCTCAAAAGGGAAGTCAAGGGAGCTGGGTTCCTCTTCTCCCACTACTTCTGAGCCAATGTTTCACATCTCATATAAGCCCCAAAGATGCCAAGGATAGTGGCATGGCAGGTGTCTAGCTGGTGCCAATTGGATGGCATCAGATTCTCCAAAGAAAAACCCACTTGGAAAAGCCAAACTAGGCCCTGGAAAAGCAATCCAAGCATCTCGCGGATGTGGGAGGTGGGGGGAGGGTACAAGGGGAGGTAAGTAAAATAAATAGGCAAATAAGAGAAAAAAATAGTAACAAAATAAAAAAACAAAAATAAAAAAGTAGGGTTTATTGACACTCATGCATGTTAAATTAGAGGGTAGAAAGAGCTAGTAGTCTCTCTTTGAAGGCTGTAATGTTTTTGTGGTTTGGTGACTTCTTATGTTGGCAGCCGTCTTGTCAATGTCCCTTATGTCAGCCAGAGGGCAGGAGTGGGAAGGTCTCTTTCTACCTTGGCAACTGGTTCCCCTCTCTCCAGCTTCATCTTTTCTTTTTTTTTTTCTTTTTTAACCTCTTACAGATTGATTTAAACATTTTTAAAACCACATGCTTCTTTTTCTGGTCTCCAGCCAGATCTCTGGGGAAGAGTTGTTGGCAGTGGTGATGGAATTGGGAAGGGTCTGTGAGGGAATCTAGGGAGCTTCCTGCTCCCCCAGCCTTCCCCACACATGACTGTCTCTCTCAGGGTTGTTTGTGAGAATCAGTTAGGAACTACTGCAGAGTTTCTTGATGTCTTCTGAATCCCTCCCCAGAAAGCCCAAGAAGTCAAGGAAAAGACCCAGAATCATCTTTTCCCCAAAGTCATGAGAGGAGGCCAGGAAATGTATTTAGGGGACATAAGTTCTCCACCCCGCCAATCTTTACTAGGAAGTCCTCAAAGGTGCAGCACCAAGAACCTGCCTCTCCTCTTTCACCTCTTCCTCCCCCCTGTTCTCTTCCTAGGGCTAGAGAGCCAGGGGTCTGAAAGAAGAGGGGAAAGGAGGAGCTGGCGTAGTGATGCCAGCATTCTGCTGTCCGGAGTGACAGTGATTGCTGGACTCTCAGAGTGTTGCCTGGAGGTTGGGGTCCAGGATGGTTTCTCGATCTGGAGACTCAATGTAGTTGGCAGCTTCTTGAAGTTTCAACAGCATGGCCATCTGAAAAGGGGCAAAAAGATTACTAAGAGATGGGATTCTGGGTCCCGCCCATAAAAATCTAGCTCATGGGTCTGATCCTTGATTTGTAAGTGGTTAAGAGCTCAGAGTTTAGAGGTGGTTCATGAAAAAGCAATGACAATTGTTTCAACTCTGTTTGTAAACACATGCATGTATTACAGGCATCTGTGAGTATGTCTGTTTTTTTTTTGAGTTGGAGTCTCACTCTGTCGCCCAGACTGGAGTGCAGTGGCCGCTCCCAGCCACCGCAGCCTCGACCCGCTGGGCTCCGGTGATCCTTCCGCCTCAGCCTTCCAAGTAGCTGCAACTACAGGCACGCACTGCCACACCTGGCTAATTTTTTGATTTATTGTAGAGATGAGGTCTCGCCAAGTTGCCCAGGCGGGTCTCGAACTCGCAGACTCAGGCAATCCACTCACCTCAGCCTCCCAAGGCACAGGATTATAGGCTGAGCCACCCAGCTGGCTTGTTGTTTTTTTTTTTTTCAGAGACAATATCTTGCTCTGTCACCCAGGCTGGAGAGCAGTAGTGCAATCACAGCTCACTGCACCCTTGACCTCCTAGGCTCCAGTGATCCTCTTGTCTCAGCCTCTCGAGTGGCTGTGCACTACCACACCTGGCTAATTTTTTTCAAAATTGTTGTAGAGATGATGAGGTCTCACTATGCTGCCCAGTCTGGTCTTCAACTCTCGGCCTCAAGCGATCCTTCCACTTCGGCCTCCCAGAGTGATGATATTACAGATGTGAGCCACCATGCCTGGCCTATGACCTTGGATTCTAATATTCCAAGCTCTTCACTGGCCTCATCCTTGTCCTGGCCTTGCTGATACCCTTCAGGCTCCAGGCCCCATCATTGTATGCATGAAGGGTGTGAAGAATTCTGTTCTACAATACTCTTTCTTTTACCCTAGAATGGCTTATACTTACCAGAGGATCGGAGTCCAGAGAACTTGGGGTGCTATCTTTGACTGCTCTATCCTCTGGAGGTGAGGCAATGCTGTGAGGGCCCACTGTGGGTGGGGGCAGGTGGTACAGCTTTGATTGGTCTTGTTGGGCTGACGGCCAGGGAAGAGTGTCCCGGACCCACTCCACTGGGTCTTCCCAAGCAGCTTTCTGTCCATGGACCTAGAGAGAAGGAGAAATGTGATTACTGTGGGGAATCCACAGACTAGAGGTATGTTCATGTGGTCTCTTGATAGTTCTCACAAAGGATATGTTCCTTAAAAATATGTACTGGCAAGTCGGGCTCGGTGGCTCAGCCTGTAATCCCGTGCCTTTGGGAGGCTGAGGTGAGTGGATTGCCTGAGGCCATGGGTTCAAGACCCGCCTGGGCAGTGAGACCTCATCTCTACAATAAATCAAAAAATCAGCCGGGTGTGGTAGTGCATGCCTGTAATTCCGGCTACTTGGAAGGCTGAGGTGGAAGGATCGCCGGAGCCCAGCAGGTCGAGGCTGCGGTGGCCGGGAGCGGCCACTGGACTCTAGTCTGGGCGACAGAGTGAGACTCCAACTCAAAAAAAAAATAAATAAATAAATAAAATAAATTAAAAAAATATGTACTGGCTTCAATTCCTGTGGAATTTTCCTAAGTTTCTCAACAAGGAAAATTGGTATAAATGATAAAATCAGCTTGGGGGATAATTTAGAAGACTGCATTAAACTTTTTAAAAAAACTTAATTTTTTAAATGTATTTTTTAATTGACAAAAATTATATACATTTATGATATACAACACGATGTTTTAAAATACGTATACATTGTGGAATGGCTAAATCAAGCTAATTAACATATGTATTACCTCACATTTTTTTAATATGAAAACACTTAAAATTTAGCCTCTTAGTGATTTTCAAGTATACATATATATATTAGTGATTTTCAAGTATATATATATTATTATTAACAATGTAGTGTGTGCATATAAATATATATATACACACACACACACACACACACATATATATATACTGTATCATTAATAATAATAGTCTCAGCTGGGCTCAGTGGCTCAGCCTGTAATCCCGCGCCTTTGGGAGGCTGAGGTGAGTGGATTGCCTGAGCCCACGGGTTCAAGACCTGCCTGGGCAACTTGGCAAGACCTCATCTCTACAATAAATCAAAAATTAGCCGGGCATGGTAGCATGAGCCTGTAGTTCCAGCTACTTGGAAGGCTGAGGCAGAATGATCACCGGAGCCCAGCAGGTCGAGGCTGCGGTGGCTGGGAGCGGCCACTGCATTCCAGTGTGGGCGACAGAGTGAGACTCCAACTCAAAAAATAATAATAATAATAATAGTCTCCATGAAATACAGCAGATCTCTTGAGCTTATTCCTCCTGTCTAAGTGACGTTTTGTATCCTTTGACCAACATTTCCCCAACCACTCCCATCCTCTGCCCAGCCACTGGTAACCACCATCCTACTCTCTGCTTCTATGTGTTGGACTTTTTCATATTCCACGTATAAGTGAGATCATGTGGTATTTGTCTTTCTGTACCTGGCTTATTTAATTTAACATAATGTCTTCCAGGTTCATTCACGTTGTTGCAAATGACAGGATTTCCTTTATTTATTTTATTTTATTTTTTGCTATGTTACTCAAGCTACACTTGAACTCCTGGGCTCAAGGGATCCTCTTACCTCAGCCTCCAGAGTAGCTAGAACTACAGGCACATGCCACCATGCTTGGCTTTGGATTTCTTTCTTTTTAAAGGCTGAGTAGTTTTTCATTGTGTACATATACCACATTTTCTTTACCTATTCATCTACTGATGGACACCTAGGATGCATTACAACTTAACAAGCACTTTTTTTTCTTAAGACATAGGGTCTCACTCTGTCACTCTGGCTGCTAGAGTGCAGTGGTGCAATTATCACTCACTGAAGTCTCAAACTCCTGGGCTCAAGCGATCCTACTGTCTTAGTTTCCTGAGTAGCTGGTACAAGCGATCCTACTATCTTAGTTTCCTGAGTACAGGTGTGAGCTGCTATGTCCAGCTTCACAAATCTTATGAACCCGCCATTTTATTTTTCAAGTATGAAAGTCTTCCACTTTAGCCATAATACTTAAAAGAAAAACTGACTTTATGGAAAACAGATGTTATCTGTATGAAAATGCTTTTAAATTGGGAAACTATTAATAATAATGCAAAACTTCCTTAAAATACCACAACTTACAAATGTAATAATGATTTCTATCATCAGTCTGGTATATAGCATTGCTTAAAATACACTATATCATTAGGAGATATCTATTTAAATAATAAATCACTTTTATGGATAATAAGATCTAGTCATTACATCATAGTACATTAGTGCTGGAATATACTTTGGTGATCATTCTGCTCTAATTTACAGTTGAGACAACTGAGGAAGTTTTTTTAAAATGACATGCTCCTTTTATACTGTTTTTATTCTTTTTTTTTTTTTTTTGAGTCAGAGTCTCACTCTGTTGCCCAGGTTGGAGTCCAATGGCACCATCATGGCTCACCGCAGCCTCAACCTCCTGGGCTCAGGTGATCCTTCCACCTCAGTCTCCCAAGCAGCTCGAACTACAGGCATGTACCACCATACCTGGCTAATGGCTCATTTTTTTATTTTTTATTTTTTTATAGAGATGAGGTATTGATATGTTGCTCAGGCTGGTCTTAAACTCCTGGTCTCAAGCAATCTTCCCACCTTGGCCTCCCAAAGTACTGGGATTACAGGCATGAGCCACTGCACCCTACCTATTTTAACTTTTAAAACTTTTTTTCACATATTTCATTTTGTCCTTGAAATAACCCAGTGATTTAGGTAGACCAGAATGCATCATTTCCTTTTTTACATATGAGGACATTAAGAAAGGTTAAGTAACTTGGTCAAGGCCAACATATTTATTAGTTGTTAGTAAGTAGCTAAGACTATAATAAGAGTTTTACTTAATTCTTAACTCAATTATTTTTCTATTGGCTCTGACTCCTAGAGAGTGGTAGGAATTAGGCTTACAACCAGGAGGACTAGGCTGGAGAGATGGCCCCGGAGGCAGTAGCCATTGAGCCATTTGCTAAGTGGTGGCTGAAGGCAAGAGAACAGCTTATTGTGTCTAGTGCCCTGTTCTACCTGTTAGAAAGAGAACCTAACTAATCCAGCATTCCCTTAACATTAAGAACTGTCTCTACTTTGTTAGGTAGGACAGCCTGATTTGGGGGTTTGAGAGGACTCAGAGGGTAGGGCTCACCTTGATCCCATCCTTGGCGCCTTCCTGTAGATAGGGAATGATAGAGTTGTTCCATAGGTCAATGAACCAGGTCCGGAAGTCCTCAATGCCGATTGGACAGGACAGAAAGAAACAAGGACCTAAGGAAAAGGATAAGGCCATGAAGATGGCTAGAACTTAGATCTTCCCTGTCATGTGCCTCTGTTACTCTTTAGTACCAGGCAGAAGGTCTGACATCCAGAGGATTAAAGGTAATTAGAGTTGTAAAGACAAGTGGGTGCTAGCAATCTCATAAATCATGTTTCACAAGATGAGATAAGGGAGTGAGGAAAGTTTTAAATTCCCTCTTACATACTTTCCTCATTTTTTTTCCTGTTAATTGTGGGGAAAAAAATGAGGGAGAGAGGTTAGCTTTCTGAGGGTTGAAGTGATTTACCAAATCATGGTGCCAATTATGAAGGCTCATTAAGTACTTCAGTGGTTCAAGCCACATGTCTTGCCAACTCCTTTACATGCTGAAGACTCCAGGAACAAAAGGGAGTCCCCTCCAGGAAGTATGGTAGAAAAGGGAAGCCACCTCCTGACCCCAAGGGGGAAGCTGGACCCCAGTACCGATGAGGAAGTCTGAGGTGCTGTGCTTCTCAAGGAAGGTGTGAAGATGATACCACAGCTTGGGTACCCAGTCGAGCACCCGAAGCAGCTCTTCCTTGTTGGCATTGATGTCACTGTCTGACTCTACCAGCTTCCTCCTCAGGTAACGAACCAGGAAGCCATTGGCTGGCTCCACGTTGTTGGAGAAGGTCAACATCCTGCCACAAGGGATGGGGAGAGTGGGGTCAGCGTGGCAACAGGGACATTGTCAGGGTTCATCTCCTGCCATTCTTCTGTCCTTCCTCCTGCCTACCTCTCACTTTCACCCACTTGGTTTCTTCTCAAGTAATAGTGGGGACAAAGGAACTCAGGGCAGTAGCCCTAGGCCAGTAGAGTTGATTCTCAAATTGGGAACCATCCTCAGATAATCCCTTGACCTCACTGACACAGATCAGGGTGTGTGGGCAGAGAATCTTTTTTTTTTTTTTTTTTGAGTTGGAGTCTCACTCTGTCGCCCAGACGGGAGTGCAGTGGCCGCTCCTGGCCACCGCAGCCTCAACCTGCTGGGTTCTGGCGATCCTTCCGCCTCAGCCTCCCAAGTAGCCGGAATTACAGGCATGTGCTACCACGCCCGGCTGATTTTTTGATTTATTGTAGAGATGAGGTCTCACTGCCCAGGTGGGTCTCGAACCCGCGGGCTCAGGCAATCCACTCACCTCAGCCTCCCAAAGGCGCGGGATTACAGGCTGAGCCACTGAGCCCGGCTGGCAGAGAATCTTAATTACAGCATCCTGCCTGGCTCTCTCCCAGTCCCTACCTCTCCTCAAGTGTCCCTCTCCACCCTATCACTGGCATAGCAAATACACCTACTTTCTCTTCTCGGCCCAAGAGGGTCTGGCTACTTCCCTTTCCTTCTGCTATCTACTGCCCCTATGGCAAGAGCCCAGGAGTTAACTAATTTATAAACTCTTGGGTAGGGCCAGAAAGTTCATCCAGGGCCACAGTTCTTACCTGAAGCTCAAGTGCAAGCCATGGTTGGGTGTCATTTTTACAGGCTGATTGGTGGTACCTATAATATAGGGACTGTAGGAAGAGAGGAAAAAATGGTTCACTTAGATTTGTCTAAACAGTTGCCGTCTGCTGTGTGCACACAGTGGAAAGCTCATAGATGGTACTGGACTGGGTTCTCCCTTCTCCTGCAGTGATGAGCTTGGTCTTGATCCCAGCTTACCATTTGTGATACTTGCAGGTGAGGGCTCCATTGACCAGCTCACTGATGGAGCCTGCTTCACTCAGGTCATCCAACAGGATCACCAAGGGCACATCCCCAATTCCTGTTTCTCGGTCTATCTGGTTGGCCAGGTTGGAAAGATACAGTTGCAGATCCTGGAATGAAAATGGCTGTGGGTTGGCACTCAGGAATCAGCACCGGGCCAAACCTTGAAAAGAAGGATTTTGAAGCTCTGCTAGATCTGGATTTCCCTGGGGCCTCTGGTTACTCAGTAATTTGATTATAAACCGGGCACAGTGGCTCATGCCTGTAATCCCAACACTCTGGGAGACAGAGGCAAGAGGATTGTCTGAACCTGAGGGTTTGAGACCAGCCTGAGCAACTTGGCCAGACCTCATCTCTATAATATAAAAAAAGAAAAAGCCAGGTGTGGTGTTGCACGCCTGCAGTTCTGGCTACTTGGAAGGCTGAGGCCAAAGGATCGCCTGAGCCCAGCAGGTCAAGGCTACGGTAGCCATGAGTGTGCCACTGCCCTCCAGTCAGGTGACAGAGTGAGACTCTAACTAAAAAAAAAAAAAAAAATTGATTATAGAACCAGATTACCAGATAGTGATAAAGTGTTAAACAGTGGTCCCAAAGGCCCCAAATCAACCCTCTTTGGGTGGGGGAGGTCCCTAAATCCCTCAAAGGTGGGGAACATAGGCTGTTTCCTAAATGGATTTTCACTGGGTTGGTACCATGAACTAGTATTAATGGAGGTGCCTCTCCCAGCTGGGGTGAGCCGATTTAAACCAACTCCTAAGTATGAGGATATGATCAAGAGACATCAGAATTTGGCAGGGGAGGGCACAATATGTGATGTTTAATTCTGTGTGCTTCTTCCCAGAAAGCCCAAGGTCAGAGAGTAATACTGAAAAGAAAAGTAGAGGGAAGGAATAAAAAAAGAAGGAATGGGACTGAAAGGGTTGGCAGAGAGTAAGGTGGAGATGAGGATGCAGCTTCCTCAACAATGAACCCAAGTGGAAGGAGCTTTTCGGAAGGAAGGGAAAACATGGAGAAAGAAGTTAAGGGCAAAAGGCTGGAAAGAAACTGGGGCCCGGGGAGGGAGAAGGCTAGAAAAGGGGATGAGAGAGGAGAGAAGAAAAAGAACAAAGAAGCGGGGGAGAAAGATGAAGGCAGATGTGAGGAAGGTGAAATGATGAGGCAGGAAGGGGCCTGGGAAAGGTCTTGGAGGAGGCTGAGGCCCGAGCAAAGAATGGCAGGGGTCTCAGGAGGCAGCCACCTTGCAAGACTGCTGGTGCATGTTGAAGGTGCTGACGATGCCCTCAGTGACTTCACGGCCGGAGCGCTCCACTAGGTACTCGGCCAACCGATTGGTCAGGTAGGTCTTGCCCGTGCCACTGGGGCCTGAGAGGACGAGGCGCCGGTGCTTGAGCAGGAGGCTTATGTAGTGCTGCATCATCGGCTTGGGGATCAGTGTCTCAAACACCAGGCTGTCGACGCATTTCTCCTTCAGACCTGAACCCCGCCCCAGAAAGCATGAGTCTTAACCAGGGCCCTGAGGGCAGCAAGGGACCCTGAAGAGCTTTCCTTTCTTCATCTGGGAGCCCACTGAAGAAACTCAGAGCCACTTGCATCATGGCTCCACGAATCCCCTAACTCCTAGTTTTGAAAACTTGGATCTCACTTTTAGGGACATACTCTGAGCTAGGGGTGAGGGGCAGAATCAGAAGCCAAGTCTTGGCAAAAGTGTCTCTGGGAATATAAGTTAGGACTGGGTCTTACTCATCTTTTTGTATCTCACATTACTTAACCACTTTCCTTTTATAGCTTCTCAATACATTTTTGTTGAATGAATGTACAATGGACTATTTGATGATTCTCTCCCTGTCTTCATGCCATATCACCTCACCCCAAGAGACAAAGACTGACCTTTGAGGGAGACTGATATGTTATTGACACCTCGACGGCAAGGAGGCATCTCTGGGGGCTCAGCATCTAATACTCGTTTCACGTGGCTGAGGCTGTAGCCATGGATGGACTCAGTGCTTAGTCCCAGGGTAGAGGCTGGATCCATTTTAGAAATATAGTCCTGATAGGAGTGATAGGGAGGAGAAGAAAAGATGCAAACATAGTTCTAAAAGCCACAAGAATGAACGAACATTATAGGAAACAAAAGTAGCTGGAAAAAGATAAGGGCACATGCTTTTCCTATGTAGCATTTCTCCATAAAGCATCAAAATCCCAGGATCCCAGTGCCTGAATGGTTTAATATCCTGTGAGAAGCTGGGCATCATGGCTCACTGTCTATAGTCCCAGCTACTCAGGAAGCTGAGGCAGGAGAAATGCTTAAGCCCAAGAGTTTGAGGCTGCAGTAAGCTAACTACACTCCAGACTGGGCGACAGAGAAAGACCCCATCTTTAAAAATCCCATGAGAGCATGGGCAACCTTTGTGAGTACAAGTATCCCTTTACCTTGAACACTTGGAAAACAGCTTCATCCAGCATCTTCCAGTCAACTTTTCCACTGACTTTGCTACATCCCAGGAAGAATTCTTGCTGTTTCAAGTCCTGTAAGGCCAAGGTAGAAGAAGCATGTGAGCCTTGATGCAGATGACTCCACGAAAGGGAGATCCTGAAAGGCCTTAGGAATTGACTGCTTTGGTTTCAGGGGTATTGAGGACCCAGGTTTTTTTGGAGAAATGTAAGCACATCATGTTCATTCCCCTCGTGGCTCTCTGAAGTTCCTTACCCCTTTGATGATGTGCTGGGGGGGCATCCTCACCACCACCCGAAGGGTCACTTCCTCCTTTGGACCACAAGTACTAATGCCATCCATGGGTGATAGGTCTGAGGGGATTAAAAAGAACCAGTTGGTGTTAGAAGCACCTACAGCCTTTCTTAAAATTTCCTGTCGGTATCCTTTCCAAATAACTCTTCATTTACCACAGAGAAGAAATAGAGATCCTAAGCTGAAAAGTAATTAAGGTTAAAGGTCCATAGTAACTTGTAGTGTTTCGTGAAACTGGCACCTGCTTTGTTTGGGCACTGTGAACTCCCTGACCCAAAGGAGATGCCATCAGAGGAAGCAGAATGGTGAAACGAACCCTTTTTTTTCTCTCCACCTTTACAGATTTTTCTCCCAAACAGGTACCTGTGTCTGCGAGACTCGGGCTGAACGAATGGGTGAGTGCGAGACCCAGGGAGCGGCGAGGGGATGATAAAGCAGATGACCCAGGGACCTGCCCTGGAGTGGAGCCTGATGAGGGGCCTGGGGCTACCTTCAGTCGGTCATTCTCTGCTTTCAGCAGGTCCACCTCCAACTGCAGCAAGAACAGACAGGGTAGGGTGGCAGGGTTGGTCATATACTAAGCCTTGATCTTCTCTTCCTGCAGCTCTCCGCCCATATACTGACCTGCATGTTGTGCATGGTCTCCCGCAGCTGATCCAGTTGGTGGGCAGAGTTGAGGGCCTCCAAGCGGATGTCTGTAAGCTTCATTTCCTTCTCCCATAGCTCAGAGCGCAGCTCTGAAACCTCCTTCTTCTCTGGCTCCTCTTCCTCATTGGCATGGAACAGCCTAGTATGGGGAACTGGGTGAGCAGGGGCCCTGTAAGAAAGCATGAGTCAAGCCAGGCTACACGGAGAAGCATTTGAGTTACTAGGGAATGTTGAGAGGCGTAGCTGGTAGTCGTGGCTCCTCCTGCCCATAGATATTCAGTTAGCATGAGAGGGATCTCATGCACCTAGGGAGAGGTCAACAGTAAGGTATTGCCTGTGCAAAGTCTGATGGGCTTACTGTTAACTGTAGCCTGCAGTTTACACTGGTACCAGGGTGGCAGGAAGCTAGAGAGCACTTACTCAGTGACATCAATGCCCACAGAGGATGAGTTGGAGGACTTGATGGAGGGTGAAGCAGTCTCCGTGGAACCATGCTGTAGTTTGGGGGAGGAGGGCGCAGAGGAGTCAGGTGTGGCAATCTCCTCTATATCAGAGTATGAGGAAGCTGACTTGGGTCCTTTTTTTATACTGAAGGCTTTGTTGAAGGAACTTCGAAGCTGGAAAAAAGCAGATCCAGGTAGCGAGATGTCAGGACTCCACTCAGGGGATGGTGGGGGGAATGGGGGTAGTTTAGAACTTATGAGGCAGAGATGTGGAAACTGGGAATTTACTTGTTAAAACTAAGCATTTTTCTATGAGGCTTCACTTGATTCATGGAATATGGACAGAAGAGTTGCCTAGGTATTAGGACTCAAGAGAAAAAGCAGATTCTTCTGGCTTGCTGCTGTTGCAGGTTATGGGAATTTCTTGGGTGTTCTCTCTCCCATAGGGAGAACTATGCCCCGATGGGGGACAGAGAGAAATTCCCAGAAGTTGCATGGTATACCGTTCAGCAATCCAATCCCCCCTTCTGCAGCAGACCAATAACTTCTCAGTCTGGAACCTAGCTTACTCTGGGTCTCAGAATGCCACCTCCGACCAGAGTCATCAGCTCAGAATCTATTCATCTATTCACCTATCAATCAGAAACTGACAATATGATTCTGTGGAGAACAAGAGAAAGGAGTGGTATCAAGTTTCGTTTGAGTATGTCTTGTGCCCAGCGCACCACAGAATGGTTAAAACAGCCAGACATAAGCACTTTCTACTATTTTGAAGGTCCTAGAAGGGATACTTCCTTAGAGTACCTGGGGCATTATAATCTGACCACAGCTTGTTTATCTAGATGTTGAAGAGCTTGGGTGTTAGGGATGTGAGCCTGAAGTGCACACCAGGATCCTGTCCCACACCCACTCACATGCTTCCATACAGCATGCACACACACACACAAGGACACAGATATGAAATGGCAGCAGAGAGTAAAGGAGGGGTCAAAGGTTATAGGGGACAAAGGCAAACCAGTGATCCCAGGGACAGTGAGAAAGAAAGGGAAAACTTGAGGGTACCCTTTCTAAGTGTTTCTCCTGGAACACAGGAAGGCTGTTGGGTGATGGATGGAGCTAGTGGGTAATGTGTATTGGGGTTTCCACCAGGCAAGATGTAAAGGATGACCAATCTGACCATGATGAGTATGTATGCTACTGGCTGGTTCCAGGTGACTTGTTACAACCAAGCAGTCAAGGCTGAAAAGTACCATAAAACTCAGTTATCTGCAGAGAGGAGGAACTGAGCCTGAAAAGGCCAGACTTGCTTGAAATTGTACTCTTGAAGGAAGTCCTGGGACTAGAACGCAGGCTTTCTAATTTTCAACCCAGTTAAGTTTTCTGTATACCGCTTCCTCATGGGAAGCCATCTTTGTGTGGGTATGCAGAAAGAGATCCCATGACCCCAGTCTACCTGGAGCACAGGCCCTCTGAGATTAGCAAGGTCCTAAGGGAGAACAGTGCTCTGTGTGTATTCCAGTATTCCCAAAGCCAGGACTATTGGGAGATGTTCAATGTTATGTGGCTAGCGGTTTCAAGGCTAAATGAGTTCAGAAAACAATAGATTAAACAAAATGAAACAACATTCTTTACGGGGGAATATTTCAGAACTGTGTAGATGTGCACTTTAGAAAATGCAGTGGTTCTCACATTTATCTGATGATGGTATCAATCTTTAAGAGGCATCTCAATGGACTTGTGATCTGTGAAATACACTTTGAGACATGCGAATCTAAAGAATGAAGTTTAAATATCAGGCCCTTCTTATCTGTGCTGTCCCCTAGTAGGTCAGTGTTCTAGCTAGGCTGGTTTTGTCCCTGCCCCACTGCTTCCCTCCTGATCAGAAAGTGTCTATGTAGAAAACATCCCAACACATTATACTCCTCTCTCCCCATCATAAGGCCATCTCAGTTGAACTTTTGTCTTCTTTGAAAAGTTTTCCCTGCCTACTGTAATCACAGTCTTTCTCATCCATGAACTCCTTTAGCATTTATTGCCTGAGTAAGAATTGTGACACCACTGGATTGCTACTTATTTTATATGTACAATATTTTTTTTCTCCCGGCAATGCTGTAAACTCCTTAATGATGGAGATCATAGATTGCATGTTTCTGTTTTTTTTTTTGAGTTGGAGTTTCACTCTGTCGCCCAGACTAGAGTGCAGTGGCCGCTCCCGGCCATCACAGCCTCGACCTGCTGGGCTCCAGCGATTCTTCCGCCTCAGCCTTCCAAGTAGCTGGAACTACAGGCGCCCGGCTAATTTTTTTTTTTGACTTATTATAGAGATGAGGTCTCGCCAAGTTGCCCAAGCGAGTCTCGAACCCGCGGGCTCAGGCAATCCACTCACCTCAGCCTCCCAAAGCGCAGGATTACAGGCTGAGCCACCGAGCCCAGCTTGCATTTTTCATATCCTTCACAACACCTAGCACAATTTTGGGAGAGGGTTAGAGTGGACCTCAGATGTTTGGTTTGTAACAGAAATTCTGGGCTCATTTTCTGTTTGTCTTAGACTATAATCTCTCAAATGCTTTTGGAAAACGCCATGGATGCTAAGAGGGTTTTAGGCTTTGAGGTGACTTGAGTGTGCCCTAGACTAGACTATATCTGTCACCACCTACCTCTGGCTTATGCTTCCCTAGAGCTAAATCTTCAGGTTAAGCCTAGACTGAACTCATCTCTGGAAACTGTGGTCAAGATAACCTTTATCCAGTGACTCTCCTCCATTTTGGGTTTCTAGGTTTAATGGAACCAAAAATAAGAAGACTCATTTTTTGGCTAGGAGGAGCCCAATTTGACTGCTTTTATAACAGGCCAATTTTGTAACAGGGAAGACAGTAGGGAATAGATTTGAGTTTTGTTTGACATTCCTATTTGGCCCCCAACCAGACCACTCCTCTGTCCTCACATGGGGCAGCTGTGGATGGACCATGCAGTGGGAGTTAGGAACTCTGGGGTGGTTGTTACGGTTAGTGTTATGAGTGACCGTTCATTTTTGGGGGAAAGGAGTTGCTCTGGAAATAGGGAAGGTAAGGCAAAGGGAAAGAGAAAATAAGGAGAGAGGAACCGGGTCTCTTACCTCATAGACCTGGAAAAAAATAGGGATTTGGAGTCAGCGTTTTGAAGGGGGGGGAAAAAAAAGAAGCAACACTTAATCACTCATTTCACACAAGCTGGTTCCTATCTGTATTATACAAAGGTCTAGGGGCTAGTCTTACTGAACAGGGAACAGAGGAGTAGGAAGTCTTCATTTGGGGATGCTCTTCTTACCACAGTCAGCAAAAGGAGCTGAGAGTGTCCTAGACCTGCCTAAAGAATTCCAGAAAGGCCATCCAAAGACAGTTTAGGATTATCCGAGGGGAAAAAAAAATCACACACACACACAAATTACCTCTGGATCAGCCAAAGGTAATATAAAGAGTCCTGAAGTAATCTGTAAAGCTCCATAAATACCTCTCCAAAAACTGAAGGACCCTCAGGAGCATCTAGAATGAATAGCTTTATTCATAAAATCTCTCCATAAAATAGAAGAGAGTAATTGGGGTCGGGGGAGGGGGGTTGGTTAGAGGAGGGAACTGATAAGACGTTACTTCTGAATATTTCCTTAGCATCCTTCTGTTGTCAAATACATCTGGCCTAACCAGTATGGAAAGCCCAGAGAAAACAGATGTATATAAAGCTTAGAGGGGTGGCCGTGGGACAAGTAAGGAATGACTGAAGGAAAGGGAGAATTTAGCAGACTGCTCCAAGCAAACACCAAACTGGAGCTTAGTATTAGAAGGGGCTACATCTTGGTTAATTCTGGAAGGATCTGATCCCCAGGCTATGAGAGGTGAAGGCGGTCGACCATGGTTCTGTGTGGTTCTCTCCCCCCAAACCTTTACCTACCCAACTCTTTTTCTTCTTCTTTTTTGCATCAGCATCCTTGCTGCTGCCAATGCTGGAATGGCTAGTGATGCTGTTGAGGCTTGAGATGCTGTCTGAGGAGTTTTGTCTCTTGATCCGAAGTTCTAGGGGCCAAGTACACATGGGAAGAACACAGAGCAGATTTAGACAGGACATGAGACTTAAGGCAAATCTAGCTGCAGAAGATAAGAGGGATGGAAACCAAGCAACTCCTGGGTCCACATTATTCATTTTTTGGATTATTCACTCAACAAACATTTATTGAGAGTCACTAATCATGTTTTGACATAAAGATGCTAAAGGTAAAAATTAATTAGAAATGCTGGGCTCGGTGGCTCAGCCTGTAAGCCCGCGCCTTTGGGAGGCTGAGGTGAGTGGATTGCCTGAGCCCGCGGGTTCGAGACCCACCTGGGCAATTTGGCGAGACCTCATCTCTACAATAAATAAAAAAAAAAATCAGCCGGGTGTGGTAGCGCATGCCTGTAATTCCGGCTACTTGGAAGGCTGAGGCGGAAGGATCGCCGGAACCCAGCAGGTCGAGGCTGCGGTGGCTGGGAGCGGCCACTGCATTCCAGTCTGGGCGACAGAGTGAGACTCCAACTCAAAAAAAAAAAAAAAAAATTAATTAATTAGAAATGATCCTTGTTCTTAAGAAACAGAAGTGGCATAAAGTCATGAGCTCAGCATGAGTAGTTCTGAGAAGGACTTAACTGAAGCCAGTCTAGCCCTCTGTGGTTTTATGGAGACATTGGCCTATCATTTTTCATGATTATTCCAGCAATACTTGGCTACCTGGTGGTCTAAGACCAAGAATAATTAGTCATGTGTTCTGCATATAACCTGAATGAGTTTCAGTTTTCTCATCTGATGGGTAGAAAATCTTCACAGCTCTCTGGGAAGGTTTATGCTGGCACAAAAAACAAAACAAACAACAACAACAAAAACTACTTTTCTATAACAGGGAAGGAAAGAGTTACAAAGGAAGAGATATTCGAGTGTGGAAAGAACAGAAGTTCTTTCCATGGGAATGTTGGAAAAAGTATTTGTGCCTGCAGACAAGGTACATGCAAAGGTGTTGTGCAGGGAACTTCTTTGCTTTGAGGAACTGTGGGCAGTCTGGAATGAAAGCAGCACAGGGCACAAAAGCGGTGAGGTTGGAGATTATGCTTAGCCAGATCAGGGAGAACCCTGAATGTCTTTTATTTATTTATCTTTTGAGTTGGGGGTTCTCACTCTGTTGCCCAGGCTGGAGTGTAGTGGCATAATCAGGGCTCTCAGCAGCCTCAACTTCCTAGGCTCAGGCAATCCTCCTGCCTCAGCCTCCTAAGGACTACCGGACTACAGGCACATGCCTCCACACCTGGATAATTTTTTGATTTTTTGTAGAGACACGGTCTTGCTCTTTTGCCTGGGCTGGTCTCGAACTTCTGGTCTCAAGCAATTTTCCCACCTCAACCTCCTGAAGTGATGGGATTATAGGTGTGAGCCCCTGCGCCCTACCCTGAATGCCTTTTGAAAGAAATCTGCCTTTGTGCCACAGGTAACAGGAAGCAGAGAGTCTGAAGCAAGGGCATTAATATTAACCAATTTATAAAACTCTTTATTTTGAAATAATAACAGATTCACAGGAAGTTATAAAGAAATGTATAGGGAGCATCCTCTAGTGTTAACATCCTGCACAACTCTAGTGCAATGTCAAGAGATATTTTAAATATAGCTTACTATATTAACAATAAGAAAGATGAACTGGAAGGAAACTAGACTAGAGGTAGGGGGCTAGTTAGGTAGCTATTTACAAGTGCTCTCCTAGAAATATGATCTGTTAAATGAAGGAGATGTGGGCAGTATTTGGTTATTTTTCTCACTTTCTCCATGGCCAGAAGTGGATCTTTAAACTCCAAATTTACCTTGCTACTACAGGGGAAAAAAGATCCTAGGATGTGGTGTTGAAACTACCAAAGCTCATAAAGCACTTGAAAAACCCAGTGTTCAATGATTATCAAACCAAGTTTATGATAATACAGAGTACTTCAGTTATTTTAAAAGATGTGGGAAATTCCCAAGAGAATATGCTGAGTTGAAGTAAAAAAAAAATTCATTTGTATAAAAATGAATATATGTATCCATATATGTTTGCTTGTGTATACATATATAATTATTTCTGGAAAGATTTATAAGAAGTTAACTTTGGATAGCAAAATTTGAAGGGGTGATTCAGGGAGAGGGATTTTCTATTTCACCACATACCCTTTTACATAGTTTCTTTCAGGGTTTAGCAAACACTTACTGGGAAGGGTCAAATAGTAAATATTTTAGGTCTCCTGTCAACTACTCAGCTCTGCTGTTGTAGCTATTGTGGCGTTCACCTATAAATCCTAGCTACTCAGTCACAGACAATATATAAATTAGTGAGTACAGCTGTGTTCCAATAAAGCTTTATTTAAAAACAGGAGGTGAGCCACATATGCCTGATAGGCCATGGTTTGCCAAACCCAGTTTACATCTTCCCCTAAAACATGTATTGCTTTTATGATAGAAATTAGTTTAATTGAAATTAGTTAATTAAAAACAAAATGAAGGATAGCAAAATAGATGAGTACAGTTATTTGGAGGCTTCAATTAGTTGGGAGCCTATCAATTAAATTTTCAAAATGCCATCTAGTACTTTTAAGAGCAGAGGATGTGTTGGAGAATCAATCTTCAAAAATATAGGAAATCTTTTGTGCATTTTGAATTTTGTACCATATACATTTATTAACTATTTACAAATAAAATAAAACAAAGTTAGGTATCATTGCTTAAACATTAGCTCTTTGAATGCTGCTAGAAATCTTCCTGATCAGGTTGAGCTTGGATTAACATGAACTGAGGTTAACATGAAAACTCATAGCATGGCCAGGTTCAGTGGCTCAGCCTGTAATCCCAGCACTTTGGGAGGCCGAGGTGAGTGGACTGCCTGAGTCTGCGGGTTTGACACCAGCCCAGGCAACCTGATGAGACTTCGTCTCTATAGCAAAATAAAAAATAACTGGGCATGGTAGCGCAAGTCTATAGTTCCAGCTACTTGGAAAGCTAAGGCAAAAGGAGTGTGTGTGCCACTGCACTCCAGCCTGGGTGAAGAAGTGAGTCTCCAACTCAGAAAAAAAAGAAAACTCACTACAAAAAAAACGTTAATTCATTCACTCAGCAATATGTATATATGAAGAGCAAAGTGTACTTGAGAAACTAGAAATAGCTAGTTTCCATCACTTATGAGCTATGTTTAGGCAAGTTACTAATTTTTCTGATCTTATTCTCTTCATCTATAAAATATATTTTATTAGGTTGTTATCTGGAATAAATGAATTAATATGGGTAAAATGCTTAGAAAACTGTCTAGCGTATGCAAGTACTCAATAAATACTGGCTATTACTATTACTATAGATGGAGTAGCGTGTACAAGAGAAGGAATGAAAGATGAGGTTAGAAAGAAAGGCATGCCTTAGATCAGGAAGAGGATGCCATGCTAAAGGGTTTAGAATGTATTCTGTCCGTCCCCTTTAATGTGTTTTTCTGAAATGTTTTAACACATAGAAAAGTATAGTACAATGGACACACGTGTGCTCTTTACCTAATTCCATAATTGTTAATATTTTATTATATTTACTTTCTCTTTGTGCATACACACACACACACACACACACTTTATTGAACAATTTGAAAATAAGTTGCAGATAACATGACATTTTACCACTAAATAATTCAGGAATACTTCTAAGAATAAGGGCATTTTCCCAAATGTCATTATCATACCTAAGAAAATGAACAGTAATTATTTTCATCTAATATCTAGTCCATATCCAAATTAGAATGATTTCTGATCTTAACTGATATAATTGGAATATGCTGGGGGCAGTATAAAGGACTGAGGCCAGGTGCAGTGGCTCACACCTATAATCCCAGCACCTTGGGAGGCTGAAGTGGGAGGATTGCTTGAGCCCAGGAGTTTGAGACCAGCGACAGAGTGAGACCTCACCCCTCCAAAAATTAGCCAAGCATGGTGGCATTCACCTGTAGTTCCAGCTCCTCAGGAGGCTGAGACAGAGTATCACCTGAGCCCAGGAGGTCAAAGCTGCAGTGAGCCGTGATTGTGCCACTGCACTCCACTCTGGGCAACAGAGTGAGTCCCCAATTCAAAAACAAAAACAAAGCAAAACAAAAAAAGAAAGGACTAGAGTAAGGCAAGACTAGTTAGGAAATTATTGTCATAATCTAGGAGAAGAGTATTAAAAACTGAGCCAGGGTAATGGTGATAAAGAACAGGGACAGAATTGAGATCTATACAGGAAGTAGAACTAGCTGACTGTATAGGGTGAAACAGTGAGGAGTCAAAGATGACTCTCATCTTAGCAGCTTGAGTGACTAGGCAGATGATAATACCTGAGATGGGCAAAACTGCAGAAGGGAAAGGGCTGCCTTGTGTATTTGTAAGTGGAGGGGAGGAGATAGCTTTTAATTTTGAACATGTTAAGTTAGAGGTATCTATGAGGTCAATTAAGCAGAAATGGCCAAAGTGTTTGTTTAATATAGGTCTGGAACTCAGAAGACTGATTTGGATAGAAATACAGATTAAAAAGAGACTGTGAAATGATTGCACTATGCCGGGCTTGGTGGCTCAGCCTGTAATCCCGCGCCTTTGGGAGGCTGAGGTGAGTGGATTGCCTGAGCCCGTGGGTTCGAGACCCGCCTGGACAGCAAGACCTCATCTCTACAATAAATCAAAAAATCAGCCGGGCGTGGTAGCACATGCCTGTAATTCCGGCTACTTGGAAGGCTGAGGCGGAAGGATCGCCGGAGCCCAGCAGGTCGAGGCTGCGGTGGCCGGGAGCGGCCACTGCACTCCAGTCTGGGCGACAGAGTGAGACTCCAACTCAAAAAAAAATCAATTGTATTTCTGTACACTAGGATTGAATGGCCCAAAACAGAAATTAAAACACTTTCATCTATAACAGCATCAAAAAATAAATTTCACGAAAGAAATGCAAGGCCTGCATACATCAAACTGTAAAATATCACTGAAAGAAATGAAAGAATACTTAAAGGCTTATTCTTGGATTGGGAGACTTAATATTGTCAAGTGGCAATACTCTGCCAAAACTATGCCAGATTCAATGCAACCCCTATCAAAATCCTAACTGATTTTTTTTTTTGCAGAGATTGACAAATCAATTCTAAAATTTACATGAAAATGCAAAGGGCACAGAGGAGCTAAAACAGTTTTGAAAAAGAACAAAGTTGGAAGACTCACATGTCCCAATTTCAAAACTTAAAGCTATAGTCGTCAAGACAATGTGGCACTGGCTAAGGACAGACATACAGATGAATGGAATAGAACTGAAAGTTCAGAAATAAACCCATAAGTTCATGTCCAATTAACTTTTTTAAAAGAGCCAAGACAATTAAATGGGGAAAAACTGTCTTTTCAACAGATGGTGCTGGGACAACTGGTTATTCACATATAAAAGAATAAAGTCAGACTCCCTACCTCATTCCATATATAAAAATTTACTTAAAATGGAACAAAGACCTAAAGCTATAAAACTTTTAGAAGGAAACATAGGAGTTAGTCTTAATACCTTGGATTAGGCAATAGTTTCTTAGATGGAATATCTAAAGCAAGAAAAATAAATAAATTATCCTTCATGAAAATGGAAAATTTGTTCTTTTTTTTTGAGTTGGAGTCTCACTCTGTCGCCCAGACTGGAGTGCAGTGGCCGCTCCCGGCCACCACAGCCTCGACCTGCTGGGCTCTGGCGATCCTTCCGCCTCAGCCTTCCGAGTAGCCCGAATTACAGGCACACGCTACCACGACCAGCTGATTTTTTGATTTACTGTAGAGATGCGGTCTCGCTGCC